GAGCTTGGTGTTCTTTATCTCCTAACCCAGGGATGGGGAACCTGCTATATGTGGCCTTGAGGCTCAGGTTCCCCACCTCGATAGTCTGTTCTTTCCTTTCCAATCCGGTGATAATTCCTCTTGGCAGCGGAAACAGAAGCAAGAGTTGAGTGGTCCTTCCTTCTCTCTACTGCCCATTGCTACCATCCCATCCATCCTGAATAGGGAGCTTTTCTGTTTTGGGATCCCCTCTTTTCCCCAGCATAGCTAAAAAGCCCTTTTTGTGGGCTGTCCTCAGCTTGCATCGGCAGTCTCAGCTCATTCCTGGTATGAAATTGCCTAACACCTTGGTATTCACCTTTAGTCAGTCAGCTGCCCTTTTTACATCTACCAGACACTTTTTAAAAAGATTTTTTTTAGAATTCAAGTTACCCAATGAGCTCCCTGCACATCCAAGTTGGCCTCTTTGGCCATTTTCCTCTTTAAAATTATTTCAGTTTGTAGCTCCAGAATGTCATTCTTGAGTATTTCCCAGCCCTACTGGGCTGCCTTCCTCTGTAAAAGGACAAGTTGTGGGCTCTGTTCCTTCCTCTGAAGCCTCTGAAAGCTGTTCTCCCCAAAGCAAGCCCATCCTTGCTTCTCCTTTCCTCTCTCACGTCTCCTCATAGTTCCTATCATTTTAACTTCAGCAACCAGTCTTTCTTGTGGATCAGCAATATACATTATGCTTAGAATCAGATTCCAATTTTCAGCTTCTCTTGGCATTTCCTGCAGCTTTTAAAGGATGAACTTATCAAGACAACAAGCCAGGAATGCACTAACTTCTCTGTTGTGGGCAGAGAAAGTCCTTCACGCAAAAACCAAGAAATCTGAAGTCTACCATCACCACCATATTCCCTCTTTCCCCTGCTTCCAGGTTTGTCTGCCAAATGTATCTAACTCCACCTCCTGTCCAGGGGGCCTATAATGTATTCCCATGACAAAATCACGTCTGTTTCTCCCTGCACTGATTTTCACGCAAATGTTTTTTTTCCCTCCAAATGAAGATCTACCTTCACACAGAAGATAGTAAATAGACAGGACTACTCTTATATGTATGTCCAGGGCAGATAACCTCTACCAAGTACAAGTTAAAAATCAATCACAGGCTCAGAGACTCTTCAGGTTAGAAGGGATCCTTGGAACCCTTGAGTCTAAAGCCATCTAAAGAGGGTTCACATAACCTCACGAGGGCAGAACCACGATTCAATTCAACACATTTATTAAATGCCTACCACAATGCCAGAAGGATCCTTTGCTCTGTGCTGGGGATATCAAGATGGCTATTTCATAGATCCTGATATCAAAAAACTTCCAATCATGTGGGTGACTCTGACATGTATATACATATGTGATGATGCTATGAAAAATGTGAAAAGGAAAAGATCCCTTTCATCCAATGGGCAGAGAAGACTCCATGGAGGAGGGGTCATGGGAGGGGGCCTTGAGGGAAAGGTCTTCAGCGGGCAAAGAAGGGAGAACATTCCAGGCATGGGAGGAGGGGATGGGGATGAGAACAAACACCTGGATATGGACGAACAGAACAAGGGATGGTAAAGACTTGTTTCATGGCAGCAGAGAGGTGTCAGGCTCAAGCCAGATTGTGAAACACCAGAAAGACGTATTGATACTTTATTCAGTAGGCAAAAAGAAGCCAATGCAGGTTTTATTTGGAGGGGAGGTGACATGACTAGAATGGCATTGAGAAGATTATTCAGGAAATTTGCAAATGAATTGAAGTCAGAGAAGCTTGGAAGCAAGAAGCTCAATTAGGAGATGTAGCAATGGTCCATGCACTGAGGAGTTTTAAGGGAAACCAGAGATATGTGGCATGCGCTCCTCTGCCTCTGAGATCATAGGAAACAGGCACACTGTCCCACAATGCCTTTTGTGGTTTCTAAGACAGAATCATGGCCTGCTTAAACCACTGGCCTGATGAAGGGTGCTACCTTTGATGGTCGTGTTCTAATGGCCTTGCTGAAGGTCCCCTGGCTATCCCCTGTTTCAAAGCAGAGCCCATTGAAAATTCTGCCCCTCTGAGTGCTAGCTAGCCTGGGGCTGTTTTCCCTCCCTTGTGCAGCAGATGACAGCAGTAAGGGGAAAGAGATGGGAGGGAACTGAAAAGGAAAGAAGAGATTTGGGAAACTGAGGCAGGGGCACACAAGTGCAGGAAAGGGGTAACCAGCATGTTAGCAAACGCCAAAGGAGAGTCCAACAATTAAGCAGGTCAGAACAATAAGTTTTTCCCAAATGGAGAAGCTGGGCTCTGAGCAGCCATGTGAACCCAATCAGCATGGTGTTGACTGTGCCTCTCCTAGCCTAAAACCCTTTCCCACCACAACTTGGGAAGTATAGGGACATGGCTGATCCCATTAGGACGAGCAGTTTTTCCCCCATACACCAAGCTGGAGTATAGAAATGGCTGGCCCCCCACGCTGGAGACAGCCTTCCTCCACCAACACTGGCCTGGGGCTCCCCTTCTCTCCACATCTGTCAGGTATAGAATGTACCCCTTATCCCAGACAGAGCAGGGTCCTTCCTCAGACTTTTTCTATTGGAGCCCCCACACATCGCATGGGCCTTTGTCCCTAGGACCTGGAGTGTATGATGGATAAGGATCTGTACAACAGTGATGGGTGGAGAGGCCAGCAGGGAGGGAAGGCCACCCCCAAAAGGCCTGCTCCCAGTGTCTCCCACCTACTACTGAATGGGAGCTAAAGCCCCAGCAAGCAGAGCTTGGCTAAGGCTTGGGAGGAATTTCTGATGTGAACTCAGAAGTGGTGTTTACCCTCATTAACCCCCCCCCCAACCAGGCCTGGCCTCTTGTGCTGCTACCCCCAGGATGATGTGCTCCCACTCATCCATCGTGCCCCAGGCCCTGCTTCAGTTTCATGCAGGGGCCCCAAGCCTCCGCTGCCATGGGAACGGATTGTTTGGGAGAAGCCATCCTGCTTTTCTGTTGTCAAGGACAGAGCTGGCTGCTGGCAGATTTCAGCTGATGCTGAAGCTCCTGGGCCACTCCCCCTCCCCACTCCCATGTCTGGCAGGAGCAGGCACCATGTTTGTTCACAGTCCAATAAAGGCAGATAAAAACAAGTCACGTCTGCCACCCCTCCGGCACTTTAAGAGGCACAAGGCACATGCCTCACAACCATTCAGGGAGGTAGGCAGTGCAAACATTATTTGCCCTCATTTTACAGAAGGGAAAACTGAGGTCTGCAGCAACAAAGCCACTTGGCCAAGTTCACACAGCTATTAGTGCTGCAGTCGGAATTTGAACTCAGGTTCTTCCTAACTTGAAGCCCAGGGCTCTCTCCACGCTGCAGTGAAGCCTCTCCTGCCCCCCCCCCCATAATGGTGACAGAGGGCATACTGTAGCTCTGACTTATAAGATGTGGAGAAGAGGTCATGCGGAGCCCTGAGGCCAGCTGTTGTTTATTCTGACCAAGGCTCAATCCGCAGAATGACCAGGAGTGGGAGCCCTGCCTCAGGCATGCCCTATGCCTCTTGAAATATACTTTGTTGGGGTGTTGAGGCTCCGAGTGGGAAAATCACTTGCCCAGGTCACAAAGCTAATAAGAAGTAAGTCAGGATTTGAGCCCAGTTCCCTCCTAACTACAAGTCCAGAGCTTTTTACAGAGCCAGGAGGCCACACTCTAAGCCCAGACGGGCAGAACAGCCCTCTGCTCCCCCTGCTGCCTCTCCTTCCTCCTCTGTACACAGCCACAGAGAGAGCTCTGCAGCCTGAGGAGCCGGGGGGCTATTTCTTACCCAGTTCTGTGACAGGGAGCACTGATCTTCAGGGCCCCTCTGCGGGCCCTGCCCCTCAGCTAAGGCTGCACTCAGAACCGCCCACACGCCCACTGCACCCTCAGGCCCCCAGGCCAATTCCTCCGCCTATTCCGAGTCAGGCCTGCTCCTCACCCCACCCTCACTCCAATGGTGTGGACTGTGACCACCCACCATCCTCTCCGTGGTAGAGACCCCAAAACAGCTGGGCCTCCTGGTTAAACCTGCCAGACACTCAACTTTGGCCTTTGCACAGCTTCCTCAGAAGACTTCTATCTCCCTCCCCCGACAACACGTCCCGCCTCAGGCCAGCCGCTCCGGGGGAGCTGGATCTCTGTAGTTTGGGAGGTGGCTGTGGCTGTCGAGGTGCGTGTTGGGGAGGGAGGATCGAGCAGCCACAGGCGAGCACCCCGGGTATCCTGTCTGCCAAATCGCTGGCAGGCCAGCAACAAAAAGCTCCCCCAGGAAAAGAAGGGAGACAAGGACAGTCAAGGTCAAATCCAAGCCCTTAGTTTTACAGAGGGGATAATTGACTTGGCCAAGGTCAACCAGGTAGCCAAGCAGAAGAGCCAGGGTTTAACCCAAGACCTGTGGACTCTAAATCCTGGCATGGCCCTCTGGTCCCCAGTGGGTGGAGGTAGGGTGGGGCACTCCAAGGGTTCCATCTAACTCAGGAGAGCATGTGGGAAGTGTCCTGGTCAGGATTCTCTCCTTCCAGAGAAAAGGAAAAGCCTGACAAAGAACAGAAAGTGAAAATGGAGGTCTGGCACAGGAGAGGAGGAAGAGCACGAGGCCCGGGCCCTGTCATGGAGTGGACCCTGGATCTGAAGGGAGTAGACCCAGCTTTGAATCCTGACTCTGATACTTTGCAACCATCAAGTGCTCTCCAAATGTCTGGGGAGAACAGCATTCTACCCAGCCTCATGCGGTAGCAACGGGGGCCCCAGGAGCCAGGTTCATCTCTCAGCTGTATGACCGCAGGCAGGTGACTGCACCTCTGAGCCCATTCCTCATCTGTCATATGAGCAGAAGCATCCCCACAATATCTGCCTCGTAGGGCTTTGGGGAGACAAGTGTTTTATCAGTCTTAAAACATAACAGAAACATAAGCTACGATGATTTTTATCATCATCCTCACCTAGGCTGGGTCTATGCCATTTGTAATGGCTCATAGATGCTAAGAGCAAACATACCTCTCTGCTTCTGCTTCCTCTGGCTGGTTCCCGATCTCCCACATTCCTTGTTCTGGATCCTCCATTCCTGCCCCGTTGCTGGGCAGAGGATAATGCCCCTCTCCTTGGCTTCTCTCCAGCTCTGGATCTATTCTGACGATGTCTAGAGGGTCTCCTAGATGTCTCAGCTACTTCAGGGTCCCGACTGGTTCCACTGGCCACAAGTCCCTTTGAGGAAGACTTGGCTAATGGGAAACCCAGGCCAGCCTGACCACGGGGTTGACTCGTGGTACAGAACCCTTGGGGCCTCGCAGGCAATCCTAGCATCACTTGCCTGTTGGCATCAGAGGCACCCACAACACCTTTGCCAACAGCAGATTCCAGTTCCTCAGCACTGTCTGAGAGGTAAGTACCATCATCCTCAGTGACGGCCTTGGGCACCATAGCAAAACCAAGATCTTCGTGTTCTGTAGAGATTTCTCCTGATAATCTAGAGAACGAAGTCAAAGTCAGGGGATCGCAGGGGGCAGCTGGGGGGCACTGGTCAGGACTTTTCCAGGAAGTCTTAGAGACTGGCATTACACTGGGTATGGCTGGCCTCCCAGGAGGACCCAAGGCCTCCGCAGCTGAAGTAGCAGTCACTGTGCCTCTCTGACACCCAGTGGGGGCACAGCCAGAAGCCTTCCTGCTTCCAGTCCTCTTGAGCAAGAGAGGATCGGTGGGGCCACATAGAGAAGAGGAGGCAGGATATGTGGGGAGGGCTTTCTGCTGGCAGGTCCGTTGCTGGGTCTTCCCCATTAGCTTAGGCTCTGTTTTAGCCATTAGGGAGGTCCCAGCAACACCTCCCATTTCTCCACAAGCCTCCCGACTGCTGTTCAGAAAGGGGTTTCCTGGAGTCTTTGGGTCTGCCCTACCTGCGCTCTGTGCAGGGCCCCGGTAGTCTCGGCCTCTTTCGTCTCTCCTCCAGGATTCTTTTTCCTGGGCTTCCTCCTCTTCCTCACCTCTCTGAAGTTGGTCCACAGCCTGTTGTTCTTGTTTGCCCTCTCCAGGACCCAGCTAGGGGAAAGAGGGGAGGCATCAGGCTGTTGTCTCTTCACCTGTTCTCCTTCTTCTGCCACCTCACAAGCATCCAGAGGACAGTCCACACAGTTCTCCTGTCCTAGGGCCAAGCGAGAGAAGATGCCCTGTTCGCACACCTCAGAGAGGCACTCAGGAAAGGCCAGCGGGGTGAGCCATTTCATTTCAGAGGAGTTCTCCACATGGTTGTTGGGGTGTCTTTGGTCAGCTCCTGGAGGACCCCTCTCCCCAGGCAGTCCCTCTCCAGGGATCTCCTGGAGGGCAGGACAGCTCTCAACTCCCAGCAATCTCTCTCCCTTTCCTGTGGGCCCGCTGCTTTGGGCCACTTGGCTGAGTTTCTTACCCCAGTTTTCTGCTAAGATGTCATGTAAAGCCACGTGAAGCTTTTTTAAGAACTGTGCTTTCCTCTCCATTGGCGCAAGAGGAGGCTGGACATGAAGATCTGGGAACAGCAGGGCATCCTTGCCTTCCTCCTGAGCCTGTCGGTCTGGGCCCGGAACACAGGCCTCAGGACCTGTACCCCCACGCACTGTCTGTGAATCTTGAAGGGCTTTCCCAGCCAGGTTGCTGTCATCCTGACAGGCCATCGCAAGGGGAGCACTCCTGCTGGCTTCAGACTCCAGGCTCCACTGAGAGGAGGCTGTCCTCTGTTCCCAAGTCCAACTCAGCACGGAGCTGCCCACCTCTGTCTCCTCCATAAAAGGACCACTGTCAGGGGAATAGAGGAGGACATCCTTGGGAAAAAAGGCATCTTCTCCTTCTCCATCTCTTGACATGCCTGTCGGCCAGTCAGCCAGGATCCAGGGAGACCATGAACATGAAGGGAGAGCTGCCAAGGGAGATAAAGAGAGATATTATCAACTTAATGGCACCAAACCAGTCCTAGAAAGAATTTCCTGGGAAAAACCTAGATCTCTGAGGTCCCTACTGAGGGACTGCTACTGTATACCGACATAGACACAGGATCCCAGGACCCCAGAGCTAGAACTGGAAGTGCCCTCAGAGGGCATTGAGTCCAACTCCCTTATTTTACAGAGAAGGAAAATGAGGCACACCGAGATGAAATGACTTGCTTATGGTCCATCTTCTTGACTCCCAAATCCAGAACCATCCATGAACTGCATACTGTGCATGTCACCTCTGTGACTGATTCTGGAGCCAGACTTTTTACATTGCTACATCCCAACACTAGATGTGACATTATCAGGCCCCATATGGAACCATAACCCAACCAGTAATATGTCTATCTCTTTCCTCCAACAATCCTGGCCCAGGCATGCTCAGCACTAGCCAGTGATGTCCCTCTCCCCTGAAAGGACCCGGTGCTGACCTCTTCTGATGGCACTGTCTACCCTAGAAAACCAACCTTGGGCTGCCCAGTACCAGCCTCTCTCCACTAGGGGGCCCAGTGGATCAGTAAGAACCAAGTCCCTTACCTGGCAAACCCACAAGCTAACCACCCCAGTCACATCATCTGATAACTGATCGGTCACGTTTTTTCACTGCTGACTGACCAATTATACCCTCTCTTTGCTAAGTGATCAGTCACCCATACCCTCTTTAAGTAACTGACCAGTCAGTCACACCTTCCCTCTGCTGACCAGTCACGCCCTCTTCCTGCTGATCAATCACACCTTCTTCTGCAGAACAGTCACATCTTCTCTCGCTAAGTAACTGACTAGCCACACGCTCTCTCCGCTCATCAGCCCCACCTTCTCTCCTCGGAGTCACTGACCAGCCACACCCTCTCTGCAGGAGCGAGGACCCACCAGCGCCGACCCCACCCAAGCACCAGGATCCCCTGCCGTGCCCCTTACTTGCGGAGCGATCCCTTACCGCACCTCTCCTTCGGCCAGCGCCCAACGGACTCTCTGCAGCCCCGCCCCCTCCCCTCTCCCTCCCCTCGTGCCTTCGAGGAACCGCCCCTCCCTTCCCTAGCTGTGCAGCCCCCTCCCCAGACCCGAGGGGAGTCAGGAAGCACGTGAACTGGAGCCCCGGGCAAGCTGGGAACGGGGGGCAGCGTGGGGCTGAGCGGTGACAGCTGGGGATAAGGGAGTTTATAGGGTTAAGGGCTAAGGATTTGATAGAGGGGGACAGTATTGGGGAAAATCACCTTTTGGGTTGGGGGGGACAAGTAGGGGAGGAACAATCTGTGGAACTGGGGAAAGATAAAATGGGGAGGAGCCACCTGGGGGGTACAGAAAGAGAGGAGTCACCTGTGGGGTGGGGGAAAAGAAGGGAGGACGGTCCTCAGCAAAGCGGGACAAGAGGAGGAGGAGGAGGAACTTAGCAAAGCAGGAGCCAGAGGCTTCTGCCTCTGCCAAAATTTAATACTTTTGATAAGGAGGTGTAATTGAAAAAAAAATAATGCCAACAGAAAGGATTCTCAATCCTATAGAGCTTTAAGGATTACAAAATGCCTAACTGAATTTGGAATCAAGTGCTCCAGATTCGCAATCAGATTAAGGTTCCAGTCCTGACTGCTGCTTACCACCTATGTGACCCCAACCAAGTCTCTTCCCTTACTTCGTAAAATGAAGGAATGGGACCAGATCTAAGTCCCTTCAGCTCACATACCAGAATCTTTGCTTTGCAAGGTCACTTCACAAAGGGATCTCCAATAATAGATAACATTTACATAGCACTTTTATAGTTTGCATACACACACACACATACATATATCACTTTATTTGACCAGCACAACGACCCTTTGGGGTAGGTGATAGGATTGTCCCCGTTTTACAGATGGGGAAACAAGGAGTTAAGGGTCTTACCCAGGGTCATGCAGCTAAAATCTGAAACAAGATTTGAATTCAGGTCATTTCCCCAAGTCCCAGTCCGCAAACCATCCATTACGCTACCTAGGTGCCTCTACTACACACTTGACAAATGGTCATCTAGTGTCTCTGTTTGAACACTTCTGGTGAAGGGAATTTACCTCCCAGACCTCGAATGCTGTTCTTTGATAGTTCTTAAATTGTTAGTAAGTTTTATAAATCTGCTTCTTTAGAGGTACTGGACCTGAAGTCAGGAAGACCTCAGTTCAGATTTGACCTCATACTCTTACTAACTGTGGAACTTGGGGCAAGTTGTTTAATCTACCTTAGTTTCCTCATTTGTAAACTGAGGATAATAATAGCATCTACCTCCCAGGGTTTGGGGGACAAAATATTTGTAAAGTGCTTTGCAAACCTTAAATCGATCTATAAAAGTTGTGTTGTTCAGTCGTGTCTGACTCTCTGTGACTCCATTTTGGAGTTTTCTTGGTGGAGATACTGAAGTGGTTTGTCATTTCCTTCTCCAGCTCATTTTACCGATGAGGAACTGAGACAAACAGGGTTGAGTGACTTGCCCATGGTCACACAGCTAGTGTCTGAGGCCAGACTCCTGACTCCAGACCTGGCACTCAATCTACTGTGCTGCTTAGCTGCACTCTCCTTATGAATATTAACTATTGTTATATTCACTTAGAGACCCAAGGAGAAGACATCTTCCATATGATCTTCAAGTACTTGAAGACAGTGATTCTATCCACCTTGAACCTTTTCTTCATCAGGTTGTTTCTTCAAATGAACCTCTTATAAAAACCTGGGAAGACTCATCTGAACTGATACAAAGTGAAGTGAGCAGAACCAGAAGAACACTGTCCACAGCAACAGCAACAGTGTTATGATGATCAACTGTGAATGACTTAGCTATTCTCAGCAATACAATGATCCAAGATAATTCCAAAGGAATCATAATGAAAAATGCTATCCACCTCCAGAGAAAGAACTGATGGAATCTGAATGAAGATCAAAGCATATTTTTCACTTTCTGTATTTTTTTTTTAGCTTTTCCCCCTTTGGGTCTGTGTCTTCTTTCACAACATGGCTAATATGGAAATATGTTTTGCATGATTGAATATGTATATCCTATATCAAATTGCTTATCGGGGAGGTGAGGGAAGGAGAGAGAAAATTTGAAACTCAAAAAATTTTAAATGAATGCTAAAAACGTTTTCTACGTATAACTGAGGGAAATATTTTTTTTAAATGGTATGCAATGTGAAGCCAACTTTTGAAATGAATCTGATGTTTCACAATTAAATGAGCTTCTGTAAATTTTCAAAAAACAAAAGAGCTTCTCATGACACAGGGTTCTTCACTATTCAAATCAGCCTCCTACGATGCCCACTACCTGGTCAATGTCCTTCCTCAAATGTGACTCCTAGGAATGAATACATTACATATGGTCTGACTAGGGCAGAATACAGTGGAACTCTATCTCTGCCTTCCTTCTGGTTGTACTTTTTAATGCAACATAGATCACAGTTTTAGGTATCACTTCATTTTCTTGCTGAACTTGCTGTCTTCTAAAACTCCTACATTTTTTTCATACAAACTGCCATCTAGACATCCTTTCCCCATTGCACATTGGTCAAGTTTACTGTTTGAACCCAACACTTATTATCACACGATATCACAGTAGAGCTGGCCCTTTGTTTTAGCTTCTTGAGATCTTTTTGATTCTTGTCAACCAACTGTGTTAGCTATCTCTTGCAGATAAACGTCATCTACCAATTTTCTCTTGTTGTTCAGTCTTTTCAGTCATGTCCAACTCTGTGTGACCCCATTTGGGGTTTTCTTGGCAAAGATACTGGAGTGGCTTGCCACTTCCTTCTCCAGCTCATTTTACAGATGAGGAAACTGAGGCAAACAGGGTTAAGTGACTTGCCTAGGGTCACACATCTAGAACTGTCTGAGGTTGGATTATGACTTATGAAAATGAATCTTCCTGATTCCAAGCCCAGAGCTACACCACCTAACTGCCCATAAATTTTATAAGTTATACCTTTAGATATACAAAATGGATAAAAATACTGAACAGCACATTCCATCACTCCGTATCCAGGCCAATTCACCTCTCTTGGGCATGATTCCGCATCAGTAAAATGAAGACGACCTCTGAGGACTCTTTCAGTCTTGATGTTCTACAGTATTTTGTCATCATGAGGAAGCATTAGCAGGGCACAGAAAAGAAACTCAAAGTTCAATGGAAGCCAAAAAACCCATTTATTAGGCATTTCTTGTGTACAAGCAGGGCATACGAGATACGATACAGACTTTGTCCTTTGGAAACTTACAATCTAATAGGAAGAACATGACACCTGCACAGATATCTATGGTACAGGGAGAATAAAATGAATTTTGAGACATGCAGTTGTTTTCAGCTGGAGTCAGGCAGCCACTTGAGCTAGGCCACAAGGGAAAGGATTTCAGTTAATGATGAAGGGCTGGAGTAAAATAGTGAAGTCTTTTCTAGGAAAGAGGGCAGGATAAGAACAAGGGATGGAGAACCATCTGATTTCTTTTTCTTTTTCTTTTTTTTATTAATTCATTTTGATTTATCAACAATCACTTCCATATGCTTTTGAGTTGAAAATTTTTCTCCCCCTTCTTCCCCCCCACCCTCCCCAAGACGGCACACAATCTGATATAGGCTTTACATTTACATACCCATTAAACATATTTTCACATCAGTGAAGTTGTAAGTAAAAATTAAAACCAATAGGAGGAACCATCAGAAAGATGAAACAAAACTCAACAGAAGGTAAAAATAGGTGATAGCGATTCGACTTCCATAGTTCTTCCTTTGGATGTGGACAGCATTTTCCATCCTGAGGCCTCTGGAGATGTCTTAGATTCTTGTAACGCTGAGAAGGGTTCAGTTTAACAATCTTAGTCATTGCATAACGTGGCTGTTATTGTGTACAAAGTCCTCTTGGAGAACCATCTGATTTCATAGGATCATCCAGTTTATCTGAAGGAGAGTAGGATAAGAAAAGGCTGACACAGTCATTCAATTCAGTAAATATGTATTATAAAATATCTACTAAGTGCAGGGTCCTGAGACTGGTGCTGGGGATGCAATTTGCCTTTGAGGAATTCACATCATGGTGTCTTCCACTGCACCCACCCTGTGCAGGGAATGGGAAGGGAACAAGTTTTTCTATAGTACCATCTATGTGCCAGGTATTGTGCTGAGCGCTTTACAAATATTATCTCATTTGATCCTCACAACAACCATGCGAGGTGGGTGCTGTTGTTATCCCCATTTTACAGTTGAGGAAACTGAGGCAAAGGTTAAGTGACTTGCCCAGGATCACACAGCTAGTACGAGATTTGAACTCAAATCTTCCTGACTTCAGGCCCATGCTATCCAGCCAGCTGCCTCACATCTACTTTTCGGAGCTAGCCTGGGAGCAACCTCACCAAGACCCAGATACCTGGTGAATCCAGGCCCTTCTGTCATCTCTACCAGTATAGATGCTCTCTGAGTCATTAAAACTTAAGCTGGGCAGAATGTGGTTATATAGTAGGAGGTGGCTCTGGACCAGTTCTTATTCTGAATCTGCAAACTTGGTTTGGTTTTTTTTTCATATTTTGATAACTATTTCAATATAATTCCTTTATAACCCTAGATTTTTTATTTTATGCATTCACCAGACCGCTGTAGTGGAGGGGATGAAGAATCTCTGCTCTAGACTGCCAGATGTATTTAGCAAGGTTAATAAGGGGCAGCAGCGTGACCAGGCTCACTTCTGCAAAGTATCTGTCTGTGGAACCCACATAACATCCAACCAGGTTTGCCTGGAGTACCCAGATCATAGCATCTTGGGATGGATAGCCAGAACAGGCATTAGATGACAACAAAATGCTATTATGAATACATCAATGCAGTAAGTGAAAGTATGCTTTGTTAATCACACCACCACCTACATACATTTGAAAAATGATGATAAACCATCATGTGGTTGAAACATTCATTTGGCATACATGGAATTGCTCCCTCAGCTGTGGTTGCATGGCCAGGTCATTCAAGCTCCAGCGAACTCT